GAGAGAGAGAGAGAGAGAGAGAGAGAGAGAGAGAGAGAGAGAGAGAAAGAAGAAGAAGAAGAAGAAAAAGGTCGGGTTTTGGTACTTACTTGCTTCGGAGTTGTTGGGTGTTGCGCCGCTGGGCGCAGGTACCCGAACTCGACAATTGTATAATATGACAAATCATGTCAATTCTCTGGTGTGGTGTGAATCTTCTTGTGAACTTCCATGATTGCATATCTGATTAAACCGCAAGTACACGGGCCTGGCCTTGCAGAAAGTTTTTGTCGCCACAAGCAAAACTCGGAGGGGCCATGGCGTGGGGGACCGTTGAAAAAAAAAAATCGGCGGCCTCCGAAGTGGTGCGGGTTTCGTGCTGACACCCGCGGGCCGATGTGTGGTGTACTGGTGCTTTAAGGGTGAATTGGAGAGTGGTTCATTGCACCCTATTCCACCCAGATGAGTAGATCCAAAATCGAAGCGGGTCTAGTCCTATTGCAGACGACGAAAACACTTGAGTTCAGACAATCCAACAATGAAACAGTTTTAGCGGACAGTAGTGCCGGTGGCAGCTATAGCGGCTATGGTAGTTAGACTGTTAGAGCTGTGGGAGAACCAGGGGCCTCACAGGGCAAATCACCGTGCATCTACTCTTTGTTCTGTTGATTAGCTTGCAATTCTGAGGTAGACTCCATCTGCTTTACTCTTCCTTTGCCTTGTTCCTATTGTCTGTTCCATTCTTTGTTTGTTTTGAGAGGTCAAGTATATATATATATATATATAAACTCCGACGAAACAGTTTGTCACAGCCCCTCGTTTGTTGTCCTCTTCTCTCTCTCTGCCAACGGTTTACCGGGCAGTTCTGTTTGTGACGATATATATATATATTGTGAGAGAGAACTGCCAATTGAACCTGTATGCAGAAAGGGAGAAAATGATGGGAAACAGCAGGTTGTCATAGAAGTCAACCACTGCCCCACAACTGATAGCCCGAGGTGGGCACTGGCGACGGCCCTCTAGAGTACCTGTGACACAAATCAAAGCAGACTATCATCTGTTCTTGGCAGACAGAAGACTCTATAGCCTGTGGGTTGGCACCCCATGTGTACATTTATCCGTGATAATGTATGT